GTCTATGGGAGTCTCCCATGTGACGGCATCCCCTTGTTGGGCCCCATGGTGGGTGGGGTCACTAGGAGCTGAACTTTTTTGAACAATATGGATTCTAAAAATCTAAAACTCCAACATAGTACAGAACAACAAATAACAAATGGCGGAAAACTTTTCAGCGAGCCTGCATACTTGATAATACATGCTACGGGAGATAAACCACTGTCCAAATGCTCTCCTTTTTTGATTCAAAAGCTATTTGAATCTACCATTGGGCACCTGAAAAAAATACAAAAGTTGAGGTCTGGGGATTTACTTATAGAGACAGCGTCACCTCAACAATCAGCAAGGCTTTTGGCAACAAAGAGAGAAATGGGAGTTCTGGTCACACCACACGGAAGTCTAAACTCCTCACGTGGTGTGATATCTGAGTCAGACTTGATGTCAGAAGACGAATCAGATCTATTGACGGGCCTATCGGATCAAGGTGTCACTAATGTCCGACGCATCTCTATTCGTCGAGACGGAAGGGTGATACCTACTAAACACCTAATTCTGACATTTAACAAGCCGACATTGCCATCTGTAATTACAGCAGGATATCTGCGTTGCCCATTTCGACCATACATTCCAAACCCGCTGCGCTGCTTTAAATGCCAGCGGTTTGGACATTCACAGGCATCTTGCCGTGGCAAGAATGTATGTGCACATTGTGGGGATGAAGGTCACGAGAGTACCGAGTGTACCTGTACCCCATGCTGTGTTAACTGCAAAGATTCACATCCTTCCTACTCCCGAAAATGCCCTGCATGGCAGAGAGAGAAAGAGATTCAGCGCGTGAAAACAGTTAACAATCTACCTTACCCAGAGGCACGACGCATGGTAACTTTAAATGCACCAGTGAAACAGAAGACATTTGCTGCTGTTCTGAAATCCACAAAGACATGTGGAGTTCAGACAGACATTTCTGTTTCACCAAATGAATCTCTAACTCGCCACGAAAAATGTTTGCTTATACCATCTACACATACAGCAGAAAAGGAGAGCAAGAAGAACAAAACACCCCTACCTAAAACAGGGGTAATAACAAGAAACGTGGGTTCTAAGAAGGCTGCTAAGAACCTGCTCAACAAACAAAAATTAAAAGCAGCCATCTCCAAATCTAAGAGATCAGAGGCTCAGTCTATGAGTGAGTTCTCTGACTTCTCTGATGACGAGACTAATAAGGAGGTGACTCCACCAACTTTACCTCCAAAAGGCAAATCAGTCGTAAAACTAAAGAGGGATACCTTCACAAAGAATGCTGCCTCAAACACACAATGGATTATGAAATAATCCAATGGAACTGTCGTGGTTTCCGCAACAACTACTCTGACATTAAACACTTGACATTATCTACTTTATCTGTCTGCGTGGCACTCCAGGAAACCCATCTGAAACCTGGAGAAAGAATTACTTTAAGAGGATTCAATCTCTACCGCAAGGATGATGATAGCCACAACCGTGCCAGTGGCGGTGTGGCTATTCTGGTTTCAAATCGTATTCCATCCCTGCCGGTACAAATAACAACAGAGCTGCAAGCTGTGGCAGTCAGAATTTCTATTGGAGTAACTGTCACGGTTTGTTCTATATACTTGCCACCAGATGTCAGAGTCAACGAAGATGAATTGGATGGTTTGGTTGAACAGTTGCCTACTCCATTTGTTTTACTTAGTGATTTCAATGGTCACAATCCAATGTGGGGCAGTCCCGACATTAACTGTCGAGGCAGGGCCATTGAAAGATTCATTGGCAATCAGCAACTGTATTTATTTAATACAGGAGAAGTGACATACTTCCATGCCCCATCAAGAACGTTCACTGCCATTGATCTATCATTAGCAACTCCGAATCTGTTTTCAGCATATACATGGGAGGTTGGATCTAA